CGAATAGGTGCGAACTGGTAGGAACCCACCTCTGCTTCAGAGGGTCGTGTTTGGGGATCTGGGCCAGAACAATACCTCCAAGAAAGATTGCGAGCTTCTCGAACCAGCCCTTGTTTTGCGAGAGCTGTACAAAAGAGGGACACACGGCTCTCAATTGACACAAATAAAACAGATCTTTATTTCCCATAAATAGAACTCTGAAGAGAATACGGGGTATTCGGGGTGAAGGGAGGGGAAGTACAGAAGCGTTTGATGGAGTTGACAGAATCCGAGGATTGTTCCCTTGGTGAGCCATTTTGAGAGAGGGAGGGAATAGTACGGTTGGAAAATATACTAAAGACACTGAAGTCCCCATCGGGAGTTGCAGAAAGGAGCAAAATCCTTCCATTGAACTCGCCCAGTTACAATTTCCACAGTCTAAAGACAGTTCCTGCATGGCAAAATCAGATAGCTTGAAAGCGGCTGAACAAGAAATCATATGGATTTTTTTCCCCCAGCGAACGTTCAGGTTTTGCCTTCCGTTTTAGTTTTAGGCGCAAGTGACAGATATTTTACAGGTGATACCAACATGTCATGATAAGGGCTGCATGTACAGACCAATAAATTGCATCGCGTAAAAACCATATTGGTCATATTAAAACCAGGAGTGGGATTCAGCTGTTTCGGGCCATACGGTAGTTCCAGGAAGCATTTGGCCCCGCCCACCCGCTCCTGTGCTATCTTGTCCTATATTTCCCTGTTTTTTTAGCTGAGCTGATTCGCGTGGCACAGTGGATTGCCACGCTTCAGCTGTTTTACTCACAGGCACTGATATAGGAAGTAAGTTTTGAAGTTTAAAAATGTCATTTTTTGCTGTGTGCGCAAAGCAAAGCACGCACTTAACAAACCAGTGGTTAAACCAGTTTGCATCCCACCGCTGGTTAAAACTCTCGTTCTGGTCTCACTCTTGTTTCTCAACTTTGGGAAACTTTGGAGACTTCAACTCCCAGAATTCCCCAGCCAGGCCATTCTCCATGCTTCCTGGAGAATTCTGGGAGTTAGACCACACATCTGAAATGTTCCCAAGGTTGAGAAGCACTGCTCTGCAGCATTCTTAGAAAAGAGCGATATTATCCTGTATTATCTCAACACAAAAGTAGTTAAACCTTAGGACATCCTAGCTGTTCTTAAAAACATGTTGAAACACTGTGAAACTATTTCGCAGTGGAATGAATCCTCGTGTTTAAAGAAAAGGAAAGAATCGTTTGCACAACTAAAGGGACCACATAAGCTAACTAGGTCTTTAATATAAAGGTAAAGGTTCCCCTCGCAGATACGTGCTAGTCGTTCCCAACTCTAGGGGGCGGTGCTCATCTCTGCTTCAAAGCCAAAGAGCCAGTGCTGTCCGAAGATGTCTCCGTGGTCATGTGGCCGGCATGATTAAACACCGAAGGGGCATGGAACACTGTTACCTTCCCACCAAAGGTGGTCCCTATTTTTCTATTTGCACTTTTTATCTGCTTTCGAACTGCTAGTTTGGCAGAAGCTGGGACAAGTAACGGGAGCTCACTCTGTTACGCAGCACTAGGGATTTGAACCACTAAACTGCCGACTTTTCTGATTGACAAGCTCAGTGTCTTAGCCACTGAGCCACTGTGTCCCTATACGTCTTTATAGTAAATTATATTAAATAATATTAAAGACATTCTTTAAATTATATTAAATATATTAACTTATATTAAATATATTAACTTATATTAAATA